GGCTTTGTTTTAAGTCTAGCCCCAAAATTTGGCCTGTTTTTCCCACGGGGCTGCGGAAAAGAAGTTGGTACGGTCATCTCCCTCCCACCCCAAGGGAAAGCAAATTAAGGATTGACGGGTCCTGCTCTCCCCCCCCCCCCCCGGACCCCCCCCCCCGCCCCCGCCCTTTGTAAATCTTTCAGATGGATACTAGATATCTACTCTGAGCAGTGGGTAGAGACAGTTATATCTTCCCCTCGTGGGCAAACATTTGCCACATGAGTAACTCAACGTTTGTTTCCTTTCCTTTCCCTTTCTTAATCTGGATTTCTCCAGTTAACTCATTCCCCCACCCCCTTCCCCCTGCACGTGTACCCCACCTCTCCATGTCGCTTTGCCCTGGTGGCCAGAATTCCACCATACTCGAAAACCATTTGCAACCCCCGGGGTCCGGTCTGGCCGGGGAGTCTCCGGCCAGCTGGCTTCGGCGGGTTTCGTTGTTTGAAGTGGGGCTGCCACCTGGCCTGGCTTACTGGGTTAGTTTAAAAGCCCTGCATATTCTAGAAGGTCACTTTTACGTTCTCCTTTGTGAGAAAAAGATTGTGATTTGATGCGCTGTCAGAGTGGAGGGCATCATTCTGAGACGGTGTTCTTTCTAGCAGCCATTATGGAATATTTTATGTAATTTATTCATGCATATTATTTCATGATTGTGTAAATTTCAGTTGCTAGGTATTAGGTACTGTATGCTTTCTTTCATCTGTGCTCACTGCTCCTGGTGGTTAATGTCTGTCTGTGTCTTTGGGAAGAAAGAGAAGACAGAATTGACAGTTTACACTCTTTAAACTGTAATTTTTGAATTTTTAGTCAGCCCCTGTTTTAGAAATTCTGGCAAATTTTTTCATTAATCATAGTTAAGTAGTAAAACTAAGTGGCAAATAATGAATTTTTTAGTTTTTATGGAGAGGAAAACTAGAAGTATACAGTCTAACAAATACTGTTTTCTTTAAGGAATTTTTCTTGTTCAAATTGTAGTAAAAGTCTTCATAAGTACATGTTGTGTTTTAGGTGAAGGTTACACAAGAACTGAAAAACATTCAAGGTGAGCAGATGACAAAACTTCAAGCCAAACACCAGGCAGAATGTGATTTACTTGAAGATATGAGGTAAGATTACAGTAAAGAATTGGAGAACTGTCTCTGCCACTGAGGACTTTTGAGTTGCCAAGCCCCAGGATCTGATGATGGAATTTCCTTTTGGATTTCCTGCTTTCAGGCTGCAGAATTTTGACTCAGCTGGAAGTTAGAACTGGAACTAACACAGTGCAAACTTTTCCTCAGTGTACACATACTACTGAAAAACAGGGCTTTAAGAGTAAGTCTGTCAGTTTGTAATCACTCAACTGAAAATTCTTACATCTTTTCACCAAGTAGTAAGTTATTATTGGCTTTAGCAATTCTACACAGACTTGTAAGCTGACACTTATGGTTAATGGTTAGTATCTGGGTTGCACCAGTCACCCCAGGCAATTTAATTGTTTGTTAAAACACGGCAAGTATAATTTGGTCTAAGTGTGCAATTCAGTGAGATCTATTTGTCATGTTTTATTAAAGCTACCTATATTCATAATCAGGGGATTCTGAATTTAATAGATAAGACATTGCATTCAGATTGTGAAAATGAATGTTATGACTGACTAGTGAGATGGACATGGTGGTACATATCTGGACTCCCAGTAATCCCAGCTCTCTGGAGGCTGAGGTAGGAGGCGTACAAATTCAGGGCCAGCTTGGGCTACAAAGGGAAACAGTTTTTTTTAAAAAGGGAAAAAAAGAGGATATTGTAAAAATGAGCAAAAAGTAGGAAATATTTTATTAAAGGAAGTGCCACTTCTCTCTTTTTTTTTTTCTTCTTTAAAAATTTTTATGGCACATGGTGTCTCTGTTGTAGCCCTGGCTGTTCTGTAACTCACTGTGTGGACCAGGTTGGGTGGAACTCACGTTCTCCTGTCTCTGCCTCCCAGTAGAGGGATTAAAGGCATGCACCACATGGCTGGAGAGATGGCTTAGTCAAAGGACCTGGGTTTATTCCCAGTGCCCACAAGACAGCTTGCAGTTGTCAGTTCCAGGGGATCTGACATCCTCACATAGATGTACATGCAGAGAAAACACCAATACACATGAAATAAATAAGTCAGTTAAAAAAAAAAGTATGCATTACCACACCTGGCTTGGCACTTGTATAAATGTTTTTGTAAAGGCTAAAAGATGATTTGCATGTTCAAATAGAGCAGCTCCAATTCTTATTCTTACAATGTAGTTATCAAATTAGAATTAAAGCTGTAAATCATCTGTTGGCTATTTCCCCCTTAGTATCCTAACATCATGATTCATGAAAAACATTACCATATATTGTTAAGAGAAAATTATGTATGTTTTAGATAGCTGAGCTATTTATGGCTCAAAGATTTTAAAGAGTTTCCCCCTCTCATGTTTACTTTAGATACTTTTTATGAGCATTTCTTCAATACAACTGTCTTTTTAGGATTTCTAAGGCATATAAATCTGTTTTCATTCATTTTGAATATACTGGGGTTGCTTTTCTGACTGGAAAGAGCTCTGTTTCAATTCTGAGTTTTACTTTTAAAATAATTGTTTTTTTGTGTATGTGTGTGTGTCTTTGTATATGCCATGTGTATGTAGATACATATGGAGACCAGAAAAGGGTGTTGACTTTCCGGGTGCTAGAGTTGCTGGCAGTTTTAAGCTACCTGATATGGGTGCTGGGAACTAAACTCAGGTCTTCTAGAAGATCAGGAAGTGCACTAAGCCATCTCTCCAGCTTCTTGTTTCTCTTTCTATGTCTGTTTTGTTTTCTTACTATGGCCTTATGGTGGGGATGGAAGTATTTCCTTTTTTTTTTTTTTTTTTTTTAAAGATGTTTTTATGATGTGTACAGTGTTTGGCCTGCATGTGTGCCTGCACACCAGAAGAGGGCACCAGATCTCATTACAGATGGTTGTGAGCCACCATGTGATTGCTGGGAATTGAACTCAGGACCTCTAGAAGAGCAGCTAGTGCTCTTAACCTCTGAGCCATCTCTCCAGCCTTTAGGGTTTTTAAGTTGTGCTAGTTATTGAACCCCAAGGCATTGTATACGTTAAGCATGTGCTGTATCACTGGGATACATTCACAGTTTCCACAAGTAAATAGGCATTAAAACAATTCCTCTGCAAGATACTAAAATTTGCTATGGTTAAAAATTCAATTTTAGATACCTGTTTTGTCTACTAAGATATTTCATAGAAATCTTTAGATAAAAGAAGTAATCAATTTTCAGAAAGATTTCAGGAAGGAAACATTAGTATATAAGTAGAGATCTTTTGTGGGGCATGTCATGAAGTCTCATTGATGGTGTCATATAAGGACTTAATGGTTTCACATTTCTCCTTTCGCTTGTACCGTAGTGCAAGAGCTTCAGGTCAAGAGTCTAGACACTGGAGTCATATAGTCTTGAATTTCTGTCCAAACTCTTTTACCTATTAGCTGTGCTGACTTTTCAAAATTGACTTAATCTTTCTAAACTTCAATTTTCTCATTGGTAAAATGGAGCAATATAGCTTTCATTCTTAAAGGTTATGCAGATCAAATGACAGTACATATAGATGTGACATAAATTAAGCAAAGTTGATATTGTTTCTCCTGCTGTTGCTACTGTTTGAATTCTTTCTAAATTATCTGCTCTGCTTTGCATTATTATAGCAATATTCTAATTATCAAAGAGTTTTCTTTCTTTCCTTCTTTCTTTCTTTTCTTTCTTTCTTTTTTTTTCTCAAGACAGGGTTTCTCTGTGGCTTTGGAAGCTGTCCTGGAGTCCTGGAACTAGCTCTTGTAGACCAGGCTGGTCTAGAACTCAGAGATCATACCAGAGTTTTCTTTCTTTCCTTCTTTCTTTCTTTTCTTTCTTTCTTTTTTTTTCTCAAGACAGGGTTTCTCTGTGGCTTTGGAAGCTGTCCTGGAGTCCTGGAACTAGCTCTTGTAGACCAGGCTGGTCTAGAACTCAGAGATCCGCCTGCCTCTGCCTCCCGAGTGCTGGGATTAAAGGCATGTGCCCCCACCACCTGGCCACATCAGTGTATTCATGTTTTCCTTTTCAATCTTTCTTTAGTAGTCTGTCTTCACATTGTGATTAGTTCCTCTTTCTGTAGCCTTCTAGATAAAGGCCCAACACCTTGTCATAGTATAATAGATGCAGACTTCTTTTTCTGGCTTAATTATTATCATTTTATGCATCCTTTTTCCTTTGGCTACACAGGACATCTAATTATTTATATATCATACAGTTGTGGCTTTCTTTTTCTTCCTGCTTTTCTTTTATGTCATTTTCATGCAGATTTTTGCTAGGGAGCCTGGGCTGGCCTGAAACTTACTTTGTCGATCAGACCAATTCACCTGTTTCTGCTTCTTGAGGACTGGGATTACAGGTTTCTCTGTGTAGCCTTGTGTTCTATAGACCAGGCTAGCCTTGAACTCTCAGAGATCTGCTTGCTTCTGCCTCCTGAGTGCTGAAACGAAAGGTGTGTACCATCACTGCCATGGCTGACCATGGCACTTCTTACAAAAGAAAGTATGTAACTGGTGCTTGCTTACAGTTCCAGAGGTTTAGTCCATTATCATGGTGGGGAGCATGGTGGCATGCAGACAGACATGGTACTGGAGAAGTAGCTATGAGTTCTACATTTGGATCTATAGGCAGTAGGAAGAGGGAGAGAGACGGTGGGCCTGGCTTGGTCATTTGAAACCTCAAAGCCCACTCCCAGTGATGCACTTTCTCCAACACCACACCTCCTAGTCCTAGTCCTTCTCAACTAGTGAAATAAAGTGATCATGGCATGTGTCACCAGATATTGCTACACAACTGAACTTCTGCTTACATACAACAAACAAAAGTGATATATCCTTCTGTGGAAATACTATACTTTATTGAGTGTGATAGTTGTGTCCATGAGTGTACTTAAGAATACATTTTAAACTGGGCATGGTGGTACATTCCTTTAATCTCAGCACCTAGAGGAAGAAAACAGGCAGATCTCTGAGAGTATGAGGCCAGCCTGCTCTACATAGTGAATTACAGGATAGCCAAGGCTATGTAGAGAGACCCTGTCTCAAAAAACAAATAACAAGCCAGGATTGGTGGTTTATGTCTTTAATCCCAGCACTTTGGAGGCAGAGGCAGGCAGATGTTTGTGAGTTCAAGACCAGCCTGGTCTACACAGTGAGTTCCAGAGTAGCCAAGGTAGTTACAGAGAAACCCTGTCTTGAAAAAACCCAAACCAAACAACCCCAAAACAAAACAAAACAAAAAATACCCCCCAACCAAACAAAATACATTTTAACCCCCTAACAAAAAAACAAAAACAAAAACAAAAAAAGAATACATTTTAAGCCAGGCGTGGTGTAGTGTACTATGCCTCTAATCCTAGTACTTGGGAAGCACAGGCAAGGAGGATCTCTGAATTTGAGACTGTCTCAGTCTACAGAGTAGTTCCAGGCCAGCTAGAGTTACATAGTGGGACACTCTTAAGTAAGGGCAATACCAGAAACCTCAAGAAATAAACATTTTTACTGGGCATGGTAGCATATATCTTTAATATAAGCATTTGGGAGATTGAGGCAGGATTGCAGAAGTTTGAAGTCATCCTGGACTACATAGTGAGTAGTTCAAAACAACCCAAAAGCTTTTAAGCCCCAAACAGACAAATCCACTTGGGGGTTGCCTGGACTACACTGTTAAAAACTCTCCAAAAAGCAAATCCGGGGGCTGGAAAGATGGCTCAGTAAGAACACTTGCTGTTCTTCTAGAGCACCTGGGTTTCATTCTCAGCATTGGCATAGTGGATTATAATCTTTGTTAACTCCAGTTCCAGTGGATCTGATGCCCTCTCTGGCTACTCTGGGAACTGCATGCATGTAATACCCATGCATTCAGGCAACACACATGCACGCACACACATGTTTGGATCTTTAGTATTGCCATGTTAAATGTATTGTGATGTGATAAACACATTAGTAGATGAATCTCCATTATGCAGCTTCAGGTTTTGAAGATCTGTGAATTTATTTGGAGATGAGTAGTGTGGAAACTTTAATATGATTTTCTTTTAATC